AATCCTATCCCTTTAGTAGTCTGTCCCTAAACTGTTGCATAAGGAGTTCTTAGTGCACTAAATAGGAGATAGTACCTAGGGCCTAAAGGGTCCTAGTATAGCTGTCCTCGTAAACGGCAGCTATCTTAAAGACGCCCTTAACGTCTCTAATCTATTAGTCTACCTGCTAGGGGGTAGCTAACTTGCTAGTGTCCCCTAGTTTAGGCTAAGGAGTAGCCGCATTTAGGGCCCTTAGCAGTTTAGATGCGTTATCTGTAGTGCTGCTAGGTTTGCCTGTTGTCTCTCTAACAACTGCCTAAGCTGTAAGGAGGAGGTTAGCAGTAGCTACTCTTTCGCGGAGTCTTGCTAGGCGCTCTTTAGGTTCGCCTCTGTCTTTGGCTTCCTAAAGGGCGTTTGTTACTTAGGCTACCTAATCTTAGGTGCTAGCGGCTAGTGTCTAGGTATACGACAGCCTATAGGTGGAGCTATAGGTTGCGCCGTTGTTGTTGTTGCCTATCCTATTATAGGAAGGTATAGTAGTACTAGACGCTGCAGCATTATTGTAGTGCATATGCGTAGTACGAAGCTCTGTTGCTAACTAGGTGCGGTAGAGGGATAGATCCCCTGCTGCTAATTAATGCGATCTAATAGGTAAGGTGCTGCGCGCCTTCCTGTAGTTAAGTAAGGGGTTGCGTAAGGGCTGCCCTTCTTTGCTCTAAGGGGTCCCTAAAGGGTTTTTAGGGTTAGAGGCTTCCCTCTTAGAGGAGTCCTCGCTATTATCGCGACGGCCCTTAGGCTCGTTGCGGTAAACACCCTTAGGTGTCTTACGCTAGAGGAGTTTATCCTCTTGCGTGGTAGTTTCGCGTTAAGCCTGTTACTTAGTCGCAGATTAATTAGCAACGCTGCAGTCCTAGTTTAGGGAGGTGTTAGTTGCCCAACAGGCAGCTTACTTACCTCGTGTATTGCGTAAAGAGCTTATCTTTTCGCGGCTTTAATAGGAACACTTGTAGCGAAGTGTTTAAAATAGAGTGAAAAGGATATCTTAACGACTGTCCGTCTGACAAGGAGTAAGAAGGATTTAAATTGTAAGGAGTAGTTAGGTAGGCACTAAGATATTAGTATAGGCTTGTATTAAGACGAATCCTTAAGGAGCTATTAAGCCTCTTAGAGGGATAATATATACCTACGTCACGTGATTGTGGCTGGTGTAATCCGACGGTGCCCCGAAGGGTTCCTAGTAGCTTACTAGTCTGTAGCTAGAATCCTGTGGTAATAGAACATCGTGACAGTACACTAGCAACTCGCTTACCTCTTTTAGTAGGTATTAATAGATTATCTTTGTTAATCTAGTAATATTGTAGCCCTTATAGTATAAGGTAACTGTACTAATTAAGCCTTCTTTAATGAAGATCCTGCGGTGCTGTCCCTAAGCGGTATTGCTATGCTGTAATCCTATAAGCTCCGTGCTGCGTAATAGCTGCCTACCTGTTATGTAGATAAGCAGGAGCAACCGCTCGAGGAACTAGTCTACCTTCTTAAAGTACGCTTGCACTGCCTTCTTCTTCTACTAAAGCTAGGATTCTAGGCTTATATTAACTATCTCGTCCCTTAGCTAGTCGTTCTTAAGTACTCTGTTAAGTAGCTATCTGTCGCCGCCCTTACGAAGCCGGTCTGCATTGCGCTGATTCTTAAGGAAATTCTAACCTTTCTTCCCGCAGCTGTAATTATCGTAAAGTTAATAGAGATAGACTAGTAGCACTATATCGTCGCGACTCTCGTTAGGATGCAGAAGGAATAATCCTTTAAGCTCTTGTTAGGCCTTGTTAACTTGTATTGCGATAAACTTTCGCAATGCATCTATGCTAAAGCCTAAGTCCTTGTAAGTGACGGAGCTTCTATCCTCTAACTAGGCGATGTAGCTAAGCGATGTTGTGTTACTTACTACCTTTTTCGCGTACGATCGCAGTCTGCATGCCTAGTCGAAGGCTGTCCGAGATCTCCGCACTATAAAATGCTCTCTTATCTTGTCTAGCATGTCTAACGGGTGTTCGACTTCTCTCTCTTCCGCGGCGATTACTAATCGCTGTACAACAAGCATCTGCGCTATCTTAATAAACTTAGATAAATTAGGCGAATAGCTAAGCGGGCCGCGAAAGACGCCACTAGGGTTCTCGTTAATGCCTAAAACTGCAAGGAAGCTTAAAACTACGCTCTCGAAGTGGTCGCCTTAAAGTGTGTAGTAGAGTAAATTAATGTATAGTTGCAGACATGCTCTGTTAAGGTTGCAAACTACCTCTTCTACTCTTTCTGTAGGCAACCTAGGACATCCTAATAGGCGCTAGAGGGACGAGAGCTCCTTCGCAAGGCGTATAACCCGATCTAGGTGGAACAGCTGAGCATTTGTGAACCTGTGTAATAAGGGAACGTTGTAGCTTAGCTGACTCGTTCGGTACACAAAGCAGAGAAGGTGCGTCTAGATACTCTTGTACGCACAGAACGTACTCTTCTGCAGTTTAACCATAAGCATACAGTCGTGCTTGCCTAAACGGCCAGCAATAAAGCTGTTAATTTGTGCCTAGTCAAAAACGCTAATTTTGTCCTTGCAGATAGATTAGTGAGCGCGCTTAATAAGTCGGTCGAAGCTCTCTAAGACAAAGATAAGGCTAGGCTTGGTGATTGGATTCGCTGCATATGCTAGTAGGGCAATGTCAGCTATGTGCAAGCCATTAAAGTAGCGCGGCCATCTAGTCATTTTAAGCTAAGGCGATACTTTAGTCTTAGAGACCTGGCTGTTATAGATCTTCGCTCTAGCATCTTGCTCGCAGGTCCCTACCGTAAACTGCTCCTAGATTAAGGCTTAGAAGACGTCGTTACAGAGTTGTTAACAATTAATCAGATCGGCATAATTAGTTCCTGCCTAGGTTAGTATTTCGTTGATTAGGAAAGTGTTATACTTAGATTAGAACTAATTATGCCGATCTGATTGATTGTTAACAACTCTGCGTCGTCATGCCCTCTTAGTCTACTCTTCACTAGCTCTTGTACTTAAGTAGGTACGTAGACTGTAAAAAAAGAGCTCTGATGACATGAAGTAAAAAAGCGCTGGCAGTAGACCTCTCTATACATTGGTCCCTTGTCTTCTTCTAGTATAGTGATCGACTTTGCTAGCTAACCTTTCTTTCGCGGTAGGATCCGGTGCTTCTGATTAAAGTGCCTCTCTAGCAATTTTTAGCTAGACTTAGAGCAAGAGATCGCATAGTCGCAGCGACTGCACTAGTAACTACAGTATAGCTTTAGGTCTAGAAGAGGTAGGTCTGTGGGCAGTAGTCGTGGAATCGCTTAAGTCCGTGGATTAAGCAGGCTGTATTTCTCTTTCAGGCATTTAGCGATAGTTTCGGCTGCTTTGTGTACGCGAAACTTGGCAAAGTTAAGGCCTGCATCACGACACGCCTCATAAGCGTGTAGGCTTCTAATATAGTTAACAAGATGCAGAGGCGCAACAGCGTGGGCGCACGGCTTGCACACAAGGACTTGGTGCTTAGCATAGAATATGAAGAGACCTATTATTATTCAAGGCATAGGTAATTAGTCAAAAAGCGCAGGGCAACAAAGACGTAATAAGATATCTTAGGGAAAGGCAAGTGAGAGAAGTTAGTAGATACTATAACACAAGACGCGACTACTATTTAACACGCGACGCGACGCGACTTTGGCTAACGTAAGACGCAATAAGGGCGGCATGTCGGTTCTTACATTTCGGGCCTTTAGCCCTAGCATAGAATGTGCAGAAGCTAAGGTTTGTTTAGTGAGACTTGATGAGGATAGGAGCAGCCGAGGATTTTAATAAGGCGAGGCGCTAGACAGGGGTCTTGTACTTTAACGCTGCTTATTGGCTGATAAATAAAGTCTTGTAGCGTTGTATTAAGTCATATATCTTAGAATCACATCATCCGATGGGAAACTTGAGTTCGTTGTCCACCTGGGTTGTCAAGGGGTTTGCTTGCAGACTGCCACCCAGAGGGGGCGGATACCACAGCGACATATGGGCTCGAGTCGCAACCGTCAACACTGCTAGAGAAATGTATACTGTATGCATACTGTAGCTTAGTACGAATGAGATCGACAGCCCACAGAACCATGGAAAAGCTTGTCTCTCGAGAAATCTAAGCTTGCTGGGCTGGCGCAAACGTATGCCAGCGCATGTGTCGTTTAGTAACTGCAGTACTAAGAAATAGGTTCAAATAAGTATTAGGTGCGTTGGAGGCCATAAGATTCGTTGTCTATTGCTAAGCTTAACGTCATTCCAAGTGAGCCGGGTCGCACAGTGTACCTGGACGCTTTTTCTTCTTTTCTTCCGGACCCTCGGACCACCTCTAATGTTCTCAAGTAAGGTGCGTCCCTATGTGGAGAGACACACTATGTCCCGAGACAGGATGGCAGTTCGGGCCTTCGGCACGTCTACTGCAAAGGTTTATAGCGCTGACATTTACATACGATGTTAATAGACAAATTCCTTATTAGACTAGCAGGGTCTGATAAGGATCTCTAAAGTGCTGGTCGTACTGTCGATTGTTTCGTCAACGCTGTCAAACGACCCTCCAGCGACGACCCCCTGTCTACTTGCGATGTAATCGAATACTGTTAACGTCAGAGGCATTGAGTGGGAGCGCGTTTAACGAAGACTATGTTCCTAAGCTTTAGAGATCACTTAAGTGTTAGTAGTGAGCTCGCCGAAAGCCCCGAAGAGTGGGGGAGGAGAACTGCAGCGAGACCCAGGCTGGCGGGACTTGCCAGCCAAGCTTGGCCTGCATTAGTGTACTCACTAGCTACAGGTAATCTATCGTAATAAATAAAGCGCTATGCCTACACTGTGTTCGCTCGAAATAAATGTGGCGCATGCTGACAGCTTTTCAAGAGCATCTTACGCTGCATGCAGAGGACCGCGTCCTATGTCCTTCTGTGCGCTGACTGAAAAATGCTCACTGTGCGCCTTAACACAATTGCTTAGAGCCTGATTGATGCTATTCGAATCCTGAGACAGTGTTACCTTCCTGATGTTGATGAGCACCCGCATCAAGCAGCAACTTGACCACCTGCTCGTGGCCTCTAGCTGAAGCTGCCTGGAGTGCGTTGCCGTAGTATCCACCCTGCGCATTGACATTCGCGCCCCTATCAAGCAGTGTCTTGACTACCTGCTTGCGGCCTTCTTCCGAAGCTGCCTGCAGTGCGTTGCCGTACTGTCCACCTTGCGCATTAACCTTAGCGCCCTTGTCAAGCAGCATCTCAACCACCTGCTCGTGGCCTCCATTTGAAGCTGCCTGCAGTGCGTTGCCGTAGAATCCACCCTGCGCGTTAGCATCTGCGCCCTCATCGAGCAGCGTCTTAACTACCTGCTTGCGGCCTTCATCTGAAGCTGCCTGCAGCGCGTTGCCGTAGTATCCACCTTGCGCGTTAACCTTAGCGCCCCTGTCAAGCAGCATCTTAACCATCTGCTCGTGGCCTCTAGCTGAAGCTGCCTGCAGTGCATTGCCGTACTCCCCACCCTGCGCGTTAACATCGGCGCCCTTGTCGAGCAGCGTCTTGACTACCTGCTCGTGTTCTTCATCGAAAGCTGCATAGAGTGCGTTGCCGTACTCCCCACCCTGCGCGTTAACATCGGCGCCCTTGTCAAGCAGCATCTTAACCACCTGCTCGTGGCCTCTAGCTGAAGCTGCCTGCAGTGCGTTGCCGTACTGTCCACCCATCGCATTAACCTCGGCCTTTTGCTCTAGCAGCAGTCCTGTAATCGTGCCCAAGCCTAACTGTGCTGCGTAGTAGAGGGGCGCAGCTACGCTATCTGGACTTTTTTCCAAATCCGGTTCGTCCCATGGATTGTCTGGATCGCACAGTTGGATCCAGGTGAGATATGCGGACTTTTCCTTTGACATCAGACTCATCGCTAGTAGACTTCCTCCTGTCTCGTCCCCTGTATTTCGAAGATGGCTGCTCCAGAACTCTGCTGAGTACCTTGCCAGCGCAGATCGTTCCAGAAGTTCCTTTGATATTGGTTGCTGGAACTGCGCCAGGTACTTAAGAGAGCCTATCGTTATTGCGTTATGGCATTTGACCTCTTGCATGCTATACTGCTTTGCCTGCCCTTGCCTGATTCTGTCTGACACAAGGTACTCCTGCACTGAGTAGTGTGCTAGAGCGATGATCTGTTGGGCAGGCCTTAATCTTCTATCCACTTCGTTCTTCGTGATAGTAACTAGACTCGAGCAGATGTTCAGTGCTTCTAGCGGGTCTTCTAGCACCTCGTCACGGTCGAACGCTGGATCGCACGCTACGTCGATGGCTACGACTTCGGCTACCTCTTCGATGGATAGCGGCCGTGCAGAGAACGTCAGCCACTGTAAGATACGCATCGCATACTCAGAATATTCCTCGCTTATTGCGGAGAGAATGCGGTCGTATGTCTGGTCTAGCGTTCGCGGCAGAGTGGCAAGAGATTTGCGCAGCATCGCCCGATTGCAACACTTCCCTAGTGTGTCCAGCTGGCATACAGCCCATCGAAACCTACGCCATCGTCAGCTATAACTCTGCGGGGACCTGAGTAAAAACAATTACATCCCACGAGCGCCGTGCATCAGTGCTTCCTCGATGTCTTGCCTAACAGCAGCATCTTTGTTCCATTTAGCCAAGCACTTGTCGTCACGCAGCCTTTGTTGAACGTATCGCTGTATGTCCTGGTCCACTACGTCCCTCTGAAGACACACAGTGTTCTCTTCCTCGACGTAACTCTCTAAGGAACTCTCAATATCTCGCTCTTTCCGGCTAGTCATGAGCAGATGCAGGTTGTCAAGCTGCCACCCAGCCATCGTTTCAAGCATGTCTATCAGCTCCGAGCGCTGCGAACACTCATCAAGAGCATCGAGAACGACGTAGACGTGCGCAAAATCTTGCGCTACCTGCCGTGTCACGTCTAGGAGTGCATGCAACGATGGCTTTCGTTGCCCGTTCTCGCAAGATAAGAACAACGCGTCAACGCCCTTAGGTATCACGACCGCACGCCACAAGAGCTGGCAGAGCAGCGAGCGCAGCATGAGCTCTGGATCCCGTTTCTGTGCATCGTTGAAGTCGAAGTAGAAGTACGCCGTCACTATACGAGTGTCATCATGGCAGTGCTGCAGCAGATGCTCAATGACAGTGGAGCTCAGGATCGTCTTTCCACATCCTGGGATGCCGTACAGCCACAGCCGCGACGCTGCTCTTTTCTTCCAGTCTGTGAACTTTGCGCTTTCCAGCAGCCAGAGACCTGTCTTAGCCTGCCGCTGCTTGTGCGCTTTATGGTAGTTGGTGGACGGGTCAGGCGCCGAAAGCCAGCTGAAGATCTTGCTAAGCCTCTCTTCTTGGTCGTGACTGCGGCCTTTGTGCTTCTGAATAACCGCACTTCTGAGCCGATCGCGCGCGTTTTCTTTGCCTTCGCCATATATTAGCGGTAGATGGATGCCGAATATGCCGAACAAACAATATGCTCCATCTTCATCGCGTGTCGTCTGGCGATTTTTTGCCCAAGAGAACCGCTCAGCAATGCTAAACTCGGACACTTGCTTCCCTAACAGAGCGTCGCTAGGTATTCCTGTAATCTCATAGATTGTATCTTTTAGAGACTGCTTGTCCCCTAGCAGATCTCCCTCTTTCGAGAAGAACTCGACGGAGCGAGGAGCTAGTAGTTCCTGAAGCGTCCAGCCTCGGTTGAACCACCTGCTCTTCCTAAACGATAGCTTCCATCTTCGGCGCAAACTGCCATTCCCTTCTAAGGAGTTGTTCTCAACGTCTGAAAGGAAGACATAGCACTTCTCCGCTTTCTGATACCAGCAGAACATCGAATTGATCGCTTCTTGAAGCTCTTGGCTGTTCGTCTTGTCGATGCAGCAGGTGTCAACCCAGAAGTGGTCCAGACCGTCCCGCTCAGCCTGTTGCGCGCAGAAGCGAATCTTCTGGTATCCCTCCTTGCTTTGTGTCTCTACGTCTACTGCGTTGTCTAGATCTTTCAGATCGGCAAATGTCACCTCCTGCCCCTCCTTCCAGGTGTGCGACAGGATCGCGTACGGGGGGATCTTGTCCCCGATCTTGTCTTCGGTCCACCCAAGTCTCCCATCGCCTGTAGTGTATAGCAGTCGCATCGGGCTGTGTATCTGTCCGTATGCGCGAGTGGTAGGAGGAAGTCTTGGAGCCTCGAAGCAGGCTGACGGAATCGACGGCGCACGGCGGCTCGCTCGCGTAGGGCGTGGAGATCGTAGCTATCGGGTTTGTTTCGAGTGCTAAGTGACGGTTTACTAAGGTAGAGGTGAGGAAGACTGCCCTCCTCGTTGTTGGGGCAGGCTGCATCTCCAACATCCAGGGCAGGAGGCGCAGCCCGCCCGCACCGTGACGTAAGGCTGGCTGGGCAAGGCTGACAACGCATGACAGCCCGACAGCCCGACAGCCACCGTGCTGCAAACCGAGAAGCAGTTTTTGCCTGAGGACACGATCTAATAGCGCAGAAAGTGCGAGTTATGGACAGTCTTTTACTGTAAGAGGATGTTACTATCTCTGTGCAGCGCGTGCTAGTTCGTGCAAGGACACACTAGCTACAGGGAATCTGTGCCACCAACTATTATGGGGCTCGAAACGCAACGCAGCGACGATAGCGTCAAGACCAACCCAGAACATCTCAAGCGACGCATTTGTTTAACGCCAGCAAGCGGCTCTAACGCGGACAACAAAATGCTATCAACGTGCATTATGCTGAAAGTCATGTTCACGTAGCCTTCGCCTACTCAATTGCGACCCAAAACCCAAGCAGGGAACAGAGCACCCAAAAACATAACGGCTGTGTACATGTACGCGCGCGGTCATTGATGCTTCTAGAAGCCAGCAGCATGCGCCACGCCTATTCTGAGAGGTATACGGTATTGGCATAGCGTTGTATTCTTTACGATGGGTTACAGCAGATGACAAGAACGCTAATGCAAGCTCATGCATGCCAAGCGAAATTAGCGTATCCCGCCAGCTTGGGCTCGCTTCCCGAGATCTCCTGCTTCGCACAACGGGGCTCCCGGCATGCTCGCTCCTACGCTGAAATAAGATCACGAGCCAAAGGAATTGATCTTCCTTCTTCGTGCTCTCTTTACAACCCTCTGAGTGGTTGATTACTCTACATGACCGTCAATGGATAGGGGGTGTCGTTAAAGAGCCGATTAACGACGTTAACGCAACGATCAATAGCCTAGCGAACACCACAGCCATCTATATCAGAGATAAGTCGACTTAAGGAATAGTAACTGGGGAATGATTAGGTGTCATTTACATCTCGACAGGATCAAGAGGAAGCATTTCCGGACGTCCGTAGTTTGAACCTGTCTCGCGACACAGTGTGTCTCTGCACTTAGGGGCGCACCTTACAGAAAAGTGCTATGCGCATCTGTTCTGCAGCTCTCTCTTCCCTGTTATATTCATCTTCGACGCCGAAAAGCACGCCGTTGACTGTGCTGTCGCTCCTTCTATTGATGCCGTCTCTAAGCTCCCGTCCGTCATTCCCCTGTTCATCCGCGACAGTCCATATCTACACAGAGCTCAGTAGACGAAAAAGGAAGTGGAGATGGTAAAGATCAAGACTACAGTGTTGAAAAGTCAATTCGAGGTAGCGAACGTGCATCCCAGCAGTTTCTCCGTGCGAATAGTGAGATCGTTAGAACGTGTCCAGCCGGACGTGCGCAGCTAGCAGCTCTTAGCATACAGTAGCTTGCAGTAGCGTGCTAAAATATTTGCTAACGGCACTGAGTGTCACGGTAACCACCGTGGTTCCCTTGACACTGAACGCGCTACAGAATCCGAGTGCTCCGCCAAGCACCCGAATTCTGCTGATTGGCCGGCCGGGCCTAGCGCCATGCGCACGGCCCCCATCGATAACTTCTCACCGCCTGTACATGCTGATTCTGTTTCCTTACGCAACGTCTTGTATTACACCAGATATCGTACGTAGCCACAATTAACGCTTCTAGCAAGCTCTTAAAACACGTGCGCGTAGCATCTCGTGACACTACGATACAAGTAGCGCCGATGTGTACCCCTCTGCGGGGTTGCCAGCGCTTATAATTAATCCTGCAAGATTACAAAAACATCGCTACTATTATTAACAGCACTACGATTATAATCGTTTTAATTGCCGTCTAAACTTTCCAAGACCAGCGTCTTAACATGTAAGCCTAGGACCGCATCACATGACTGCTCTGCAGGCATAACTAATGCGTTCGACTACTTAAGAGCTCAGATCACACATTTGTACATACACAGAAGAATACACTCATTCATGTGACCTTATACTACTACCACCCTATGCTTACATAACACTTTCTCGATCCTTTCGCTGCTGCCGCTACATAGATACAACATGCGTCATAGCAGAACTAGTGCCTAAAGGGCTGTCAGTCGAGATTGCGAAGCCCAAGTTCTCGCAGTATGTTATTCATCGCCTCCTGTGCAGCGCTATGCTTATCTTAAGTAGGTTCCTTACCTCTTCCGTCATAACCGTCACTGTTGCTAAGTCGAGTGTTCTACCTCCATTTCGACCTTCTCATCTCTAAGTCAGATAGCTTCTCCAACAGCCTAACAGGCAGGTTCAAGGAAGCAGAAGAAAAAGCCATCGAATTAGTAGATGAAGATCCTGAACTCTTCAGATTCTTTGCCGAATACCTTTACCGCGATCGATCAATTCTTTCCCGCGACATCTAGCATTACTCCGAATATGTAACGCTAGCGCGCCTCTATGCCATAGGAGAACGCCTTATAGCACCAAAATTCGAGGCCTACTCTTTTTAGAGATTTGCCCAGTCGCTAAGTAGCGACACGTTCATCTCAGATAAGAGCGTTTGTAAACTACTCCAGATTGCGTGTACAGAAATCGCGGAGAGAGTTAGAGAGGATCCTATAAGGGCTCACATATTCTAGTATGCAGGGACCAAAATCACCAAGCTTCAGAAATCTAGCATGTTTCGTCAATTGTTATGCGACACTCTAGATCTAGGCAGGTATCTGTGCTTTTAGCACAGTCCGCAACAAGCAAGTCAAGCAATCTTGAGGTCGTCGATTGACTTGCTTGTTAGCGACGTCGTCGTCGCTTGATTGTTGCTTGATTGTTAGTGTTTTCGGGCAGCTTGATTGCGACTTAATTGGTAGATTGATTGGATTGGACGCTAAAGGATCAAGTTGTATACAGCTACAGTGACTCATCAGCCCACTCGTCTATATTATAGTCTTGTATAATATCCTTATCTAGTACGTCGTCCCCGTCGTTATAATAAGTCTTAAAGCCTGCTCTTGTCTACGATCGTATTAACTAAAGAGCAGCTAGCAACTCACTACTAATAGCTCGTCGCTTAGGCTTAAGTAGGTCGCTAAGCTTACTAAAGAGCCTCTCACACTCGCAGCTTGATGCTAGAATTGTTAGTATATCGATCGCAAACTAGCTTAAACACGGGTATTTTGAGCGCATCTGTATCCAGTAAACGACAGGGTGACCATCACCTAAGTACTGCTCTCTGCTCCACTCTGGCTCTTGAGTCCTCTAGCGCTCGTACTCGTCGTCGTGAGCTGCTTTATGCATAGTGTTGTTGCGGCGTACAAAGGCGCCGATTACGTCATCTATACCACGCGCAGTCGTTGTTGAAGTCGGTGGAGGTTGGGGGCGTATACGCTAAGGTCTATACGACTGCTAGAGTCGCTGAAACCTAGCGTTAGCGGCGGTGAGTCACTCTGGCTTGTCAACCTAGCTGTTCTTGCAGTAGTACTTATAGTATAGATAGAGGCAGGCAGCAGCGTAGTAGGCAGGCGATCGATCAAGCTTATCGTAGTACTCGTTAGCCTTACGCCAAGCAGCGCGTAGGTTAATATTGAGGTGGTCCTCTAGCGCGTCAGTGTAGTTGAAATCAACTTGCTCGTATTAGCGCGTACGAGCTTCGAGTAAGGTGAGTACGTACTTAAAAATAGTTATAACTTCGTATATAGCACTAAATTTGCCTGCTTTGCCTCGACCTTTAAGCCGCTCCGTAGCAACCTTAAGCGGCTTAAGGCAGTCCTAGTACTCTGTTATTACTGCCTAATCAGCAGCTGTAAGGCCAGCTAATCTTATCTAACTTAGAGCGTCTAAAGGCTTGTTACTAGCTTGATTTGCGCGTCTATCTTTAAGAGAGATGCGACTAATATAGTGCTTAGCGTAGGCGTTATAAGCAGCTTAAAGTCGAGTTGCACGTGCAAAGGAGGCGTAATGTAATGGGCTGGAGCCTAGTTAGTGAGTCCTTAATAATATCTCAGTTACGTGCGCGAGGCGCACTGTCCACAGATTCCGGGTGCCCCCCCTAAGCACCCGGATTCTGTGCAAGCGAGCCTAGCGGAAGGTTATCCCGAGCCGCCGCCCCCTAAACGACCTTCAGAACCCTA